AGCATCTGTCGTTTGTTTAGCGGCCAGCCCAGCTTCAACCCATGATAGAGACAAAATGAGCTGCTGCCCTTGAATAAACAGAATACTGACATTACTTACTGAGTTTTTATACAAGCTGTACCCTCTGAAAAGAAATGAAAAAACCTACTTCGAATGGTGCTGTGAGGGGCAATTACCTAGGTGATTCTGGACTGACAGTTATCACGGGTCCATAAAAGTAGCAAGGATGTAATTTTCTAAGCATAAGATCACTCAGCATAAGTAATACGAATAACCACACGGGATGGCTATGGGAGAAAAGGACAGACTCTAGTGATACTAAGAAAAAAACATATGAAGAGACTACTGCAAGTATCAAGAAAGCATGAGAAAGCAGAAGAAAACTGTAATCCCAGAAAACTACAAACTATCAATAGTACTGGCCCCCTTTCCAATTCCTCTATTTGAGAGAAATGAGGCGAAACTTAGTTTCAGGAAAGAAAATTAAACACAGATGGTGACAGGGTATCTGTGAACATACAAATGAAACACCAGTGAAGATATCAGACAGGTGAGCAGGAGATACTAAAAAAAAAAAACCCAATACATAAGTGGATGTGCTGCTCTACAGATTACTGGCTACACTTTTGTTATCACAAAAAGTTTTTTTGAGGGAAGTGGGGCAGGTTGCTGGTTGTGATGATGACAAAAATTCATGCTCCTACTCCCCTTCTGTAGTTTTTATGCTGAGATGGACTTGTGGACATCCCCCCAAAATGGAAGAGAGACGCCAGAGGAAGCGGAACGGTTAGCCATTCTCACCTGTCCTGCAGTTATGGAATTCCAATGCACTCTCTATTCGAAAGGCCTTTTCACACGTGGTGCACTTGTATCTGTACTCACTGTCAACCTGAGGATTGCAAACAGTAAGTGTTTAAGCAGGGAAAAACCAAAGTCACATCACACAGAAATTCTAAATCTCAACTACTTTTCCTGTTTTCCGTCTTCCAATTTTTCTTCCTTCAACAGGACATTTAAATACACATTGATGTGAAATTCTGACACTGTATCATCCTGCCACATTCCTATATCTGAGCTCTATACAAAAAAACAAGTAGAACACGCACCTCTGTGCATGTAACAGTCTTCCTGATAACCCCTGGTCCAACACTGAATTTTTGAGAAGCAAGATCTAATCTGACTCATCCTCCTGCTCCAGAACAGACGCCAGCAATCTGAGAGCTTGGGACCTTGGTGCCAAGCAGCAATGCAAATATTCACTGATAAGGCCCCACTACAGGTATGTTTCATATTTATACGGCAGCAGCACTGAAATGCCCTCACCAGCAGGCATGCTGCTGCTGCTGTAAGCACTGCAGGCTTACATGTGTGCACAGCCCTTAATGACACAGCCTTTACCCAGAGAGTTCACACATTAAATGACACTATAGGTGGGAATAAACAAAACAGGACAAGCAAACAGGACTGGAACAATCCTATTTAGTACCATAAACTGAAGTCAGATCTCACCTCTAGATCATGCGGGTCCAGCTAACTCCAGCTTGTCTTGCTGTAACTGACGCCTGAAAACAACTTTCTACAGGAAATTCAGACACGAAAAAGGACTTGCATGCTCAAAAGTGTGTCCACACTTTGCAAATTCATCAACTGATCTAACAGGAGATGTTAGCTCTCCCTATCAGTCTTATCTCACCTATTCACACGGATATCCACTCAAATATAATTGACCCAAGCTCCCCAGCTAGCACCTGGAAGCTCACTGTACATTTTCACCTAACCTCAGAAAGAGCCCGCTAGTCATTTCCACTCACTTCGTTCCTGCTGTGCTTGTATGAAACATGCTGCTTCAAGCTCTCTTTACGGCTGAACAGCTTTGCGCATTCCTCACATTTAAATAGTTTGTCACCTGAGGGGATCAATCAAGATAAAATAAAAAAAAGAAAGTAGTCAGCGACTGATAATAATCAACTCCAGGCAAGAAAGGGGAAACCAAAGCGCAAGCAACTGCAAACAAACAGTGATGAGAAGCTTTAGTAATTCACGAGGATCCAAATAGTGATTTTTAACCTTTTCCAACAATTTTGTTCAGTTTCTCCACCCTTTTTCAGTGATTATTTTTCACAGAATCCTTAGAAGTAGGTCACGGAGCCCTGAAACTGCAGATCACAAGCTAAAAAGCACTCAGCTGACATTTACGCAGCAATGTTACCCATGTGCCTGTGAAGGTGAGGGGCGATAGATGTGTATATATTTAAAGGCAAGAACAGTTTTGGAAAAAACATCGCATCCTTGCCCGCGTTTAAAATATGTACCTAAATTCAAATTTTAAATACTCATAAAAATAAAAACTTCAACTTTCAACTATTAACTTCCCATGCTTTGGTCTGCATAACTAAGAGAGTCTCCCAGAGAGTGTTAAAAAAATAAAAAAAGAAAAACCGAGCTCTCTTAAAATTGTGTATCCCAGTATCTAAAAACAGCCTAACTCTTTTACTCAAAGGGGGAACGAGAGACAAAATCAATACGCAAGTGAGGCAAAAGCAAACCCACCATGGGAACGGATGTGCCTGCTGAGGTTGCTGCTGTTCTGGAAGATCTTACTGCAGATACTGCATTGATAGACTCGCTTGTGCTCCCCAAGTTGTTTTATCAGCTTCCGCCGTATACCATGTCTACTGGAGAGAATTAAACTTCTTTTGAGGGACATGGTGTTTTGGTGATGAGCAAACCTACTGGATTAGAGAGAGAAAAGCAGGGACTGAAAGGTATCCCACAGGTTGCGAGAAAGAGTCCCACCAGCTGGCAAAAGCTAGAGGAAGGTTATGCTCTGCTTCTGGCAGGAGGGAGGGGGCCTGGAGCTTCCTCATTGCCAAGGTGCTCTCCTGGCCACCCCCTGGAAGCGGCAGATGTCAGAGTGCGGCTCACTCCTAATGATCTCCACCCAGCACAAACGAGGAAAAAAGCAGCAGCCACCAGCCTCAGAGATTCTCTTTGCAGGCCCCTCAGAGGACCATAAAGGATCTGTTCTGCTTATCCTCTGAAAACACGAGCGCTACTTCAGCTTAGAAAGCTCGGCAGTTTGCATGCAGAAGGCGTATATGATAAGAGGGCAGCAGGGTGCCAAGAAGCAGTACTGTTCTATTTCCCAGCACAACCACCCGCTGGAATGCACTTTTGATGGCTCTGTGTCGGCTAAGGACTTCAATATATAGCACTACCAGCTAATTTTGAAAAATCAAGTGCTTTATTATACAAAAAATAATTCAAAAAGCCAATTTTACAGAGACGAAACGCCATAAAAGAATCAAAATTAATGTAATTATATTTAAGAGTCTCCTTGACGTTCTGTTATAATGAAGTTTTCCCCTCCCACTGCTCTAAATCTGAACTGTCACATGCACAAATCAACATGAAGTCATTCTCAAGCTAAGATGACAAGTAAGATTGAGTAATAATAATGGTTAGCATAATTTTTTTAGCAAAAATCTCTTTGCCTGTTTTATCACCAACATTCAACAGGAGTAACAGTTCACTTTGCAGCTGCAGGAGGCTTTTGGAATCACACTGAATAAAAGCAGTAACATGATGGAAAATGAAATTCTCATGGTTTATGCTCCAAAATTCCACCACCAATATCTCACCATCTGTGCACTGTCCTCCAGTGCACAAGCCACCTCTGTGGCACTCCAAGTCAGCTCTTGTAGCAGCAGCAGCACCACACAATTTTATGCTAATAAAAAAGAGCATCTGTGGGCCCAGAAGCTGAGCAGAGCTGTTACATGCTACATAATCTTAACTAAACCTAAGAGGAAATTCTGCATCCCAGAACACTTACTTTGTCACTGAATTGATGCTATTAGTGGTACTAGGCATCTTTCCTAAAACCAATTCCATAATCCTCTCTTCTGCAGCTGAAGGCAGGGCTACCTCTTCTGGTGGGACCTCAGTTACAACCTCAGCTACACGTTCCACTGCAAACAAATTGTAAAAATACAGTGTTAATGTGGGTAGCTAGAAATAAAACCTCAAATGCAGAATTTGTAATGAGATGTGGCACTGAACACATTATTTGTCAACAAATATGTCAATGACAAGGAATGGACTGCTAATGAGTAGGCAGCACTTGAAAGACAGAGAAAGTGGCTACTGAATGACAACGGTGGCTACTAAGATGTAGCCAACACACCTGATGGAGGTGTAATTTCTTACCTTTCCAGCCTATTATTAAGGGGTCAGTTATCTATGCATCATGACATTTCCCACTAGAACTTCCCTTGCAGGAAGGCAAGGCCCTGAAAAAGGCCACTTTCAAGAATAAACCTTAACGTAGAGAGGAGAAGGTATCTTCTCTCGAGAAGGAGGATGCTTTCAATCCTGTTCCTTCTCCAGAAAGCTAGGCATGTCTCTCACAGCCACTATCCTGTTTCTCTGGGCCTCTCTTATTACTAAAATCGTCACAGGGGAATGCAGGTAATCTGTGATTAAGTGCTGCAACATTTAGCGTAGGCAAGGCCCTCAGAGATAATTAATGAAGTTTGTACATTGCTTTAGTGATCTAACTAAAAACCTCCATCTTGTCTGTGTGCTACTTTTGAGGCCTTTCTGAGAAGGCATCAATACAGATGTATGAGGGGATATGTGCTTACCATTTCCTTAAGTTTTGTTTTACCTGTAGAATCTTTCTCTTCAACAATGACAACAGGTGTTTCTGCTTTTGCTGTTTTGGGCTTTCTTCCCCGCCTGGCCTTCCTCCTCGAGTCTGTACTGGCGCTGGCTGCATCACAAATCACTGGCTGATCCACAGGGGGATCCTCTGCTGCCTTCTCTGCAACAGCCTCATTTTGGCTGGTTTGGGGGGTACCTTTAGCTTGTTCCAGGTGACTCAGCAAGTGCTCTGGGTGGATGGCAAAGAACGAGAGAGTAAGGAGGAAAGAAACTTTCATGAAATACTCAAAGGGATAGAGCCAACTCAAGCCTATCTATCAGTTCAACCTTACTGAGCAGAGACTCACTTCAAATTATTTCAAAAGCAGCCACAATACCTTTCTAAACAAAAGCATACAGTCTGTTAAACACTAAAATGATTACTCATAGGGACTGAATTTTTAAAGAGATTTGTTAGATATCACTGTAGAAGGCTGTGCTCCCTGATAATGGGTATGTTTTTCCAAATGCCCAAGTTATTCAGAAGCTTAGGTCCCCTTTTAGAAAATGATTCATCAAATGGTCAGAGCTCTTAAATATTTTAAGTTCTTTTGAAAACTGCATAAAATAGCTGCAAATGAAATGCAGGAAGAAAAAAAGGATTTCATCACCTTTATTAAATCTTTGCCATAAATATCAGACAGACAATATCACTAAGTATAAGCCGGCATCACTGACCTCACACACTGCTAATGCAGTTTCCCATCCTTGATATTCCTAACATTGCATGTCAACTTCTAGACAACAGTTTTATTTCTTCTAGAACAACATCACAGTTGTTCTCCCAGAGACTGACCACTGCCATATCCAAAATATCACTGTTTTACTCTCCCTGATACCCTTTTTCTTAAAGGAACACAAAAATTTAAACCTTTATCTTACTGCATCATGGATAGGGTATGGCTTCACAGTGCCCTGCTCTGGAAGAGCAGGGTTCTCCTGATGCTTCTCAGTACCCTCTCATGAATTTCTAGCACTTCTTACCTGTCAGCAGCTGAGGCTCCTGGAAAGCAGATGAACACACCTTACATGTCCACTGGCTGCACTCTGCTTCTGCAGCTCCACTGCCTTCTGGAGCGTTCACTAAATCGCGAGAAGAAAGACTGAAAAGCTTTGAAAATTGGAGGGCAGTAAATCCCTGTAGCTTTGCTCATCTTGCAATAACTCCTCGAGTATCACAAGTTATGATTTAAGCAGTAAGAGGCCCACGGGAACAGCTGGGACCACTTCAGGATTTTCCAAATATGAACACTTGAAAGATCAGAACAGATGAGAATTCAGAACAGAAACTAAATGATGCCAGAAGAGAATATCAGTGCTCTTGTAAAGTCTTGAGGGTCCCTTTATCACCTTCAAAAGAACTGTGATTATCAAAGGCACAATATAAAGCAATTTTTAGCACCTTTAAAACCAAAGTTACCAGTCCTTTTCTGGGTCAGCTGAGGACAGAAGCAGGAGAAGCCTCCTTGCTCTCTGCGAACAGCATTGCAGAGTAAGACCATTTGGATTAATGGAAGTAAGGAATAACCCCACGCACCAGTACAGGCAGAGGGGTTGACCTGCTGTAGAGCAGCTCTGCGGAGAAGGACCTGGGAGTCCTGGTGGACAGCGAGTTGACCATGAGCCAGCAATGAGTCACTGTGGCCAAGAAGGCCAATGGTAGCCTGGGATGCATTAAGGACAGCGTGGCCAGCAGGTCGAGGGAGGTTGTCCTGCCCCTCTGCTCTGCCCTGGTGAGGCTGAACCTAGAGGATTGTGTCCACTACTGGAGAGAGTCCAGCAGAGGGCTACTAAGATGATGAGGGGACTGGAGCATCTCTCCTACGAGGAAAGGCTGAGAGACCTGGGGCTCTTTAGCCTGGAGAAGAGAAGACTGAGAAGGGACCTTATCAACACTTACAAATATCTAGAGGGCGGGTGTCAGGAGGATGGGGCCAGGCTCTTCTCAGTGGTGCCCAGCGACAGGACAAGAGGTAACGGGCACAAACTGGAGCACAGGAAGTTCCGCTTGAACATGAGGAAAAACTTTACATTAAGGGTGACAGAGCTGGAACAGGCTGCCCAGGGAGGCTGTGGAGTGTCCTTCTCTGGAGATATTTAAAACTCACCTGGACGTGGTCGTGTGTGACCTGCTGTAGGTGAACCTGCTTTAGCATGGGAGTTGGACTAGATGGATCTCCAGAGGTCCCTTCCAACCCCTACTGTTCTGTGATTCTGTGACAATGAAAACCTGGTTTTGAACAGTTTCATTAATTAGACGTTCTATGAAACCTGAAACCACCACAATAATGTTTTAATTAACATATCAGCTCATGTCAGGTGAAGAAAATAAAGAGGAAATTAAGGGAAAAATGGAACTGGAATTAAAAAAAAAAAAAAAAAAAAGAAGATGAAAACTGTTACTCTGTTCACAGTCCATTGTCTTTAAGTCCTTGGATGATATGTCTGAATTTGTTAAGAGGACCTGATAAATCTCGACTGCTTCAAACATTTTTCTGGCACACACAAAGCTGAATATTCCACAGTCTACAAGACTCCCTAGAGCAGGAAGACACTGAAATTAGGTTACACGAATGGCAGCTTAAGAGATTCAAACTGTGCCTCATTTTCTGCCACAGATTTCCTGTACGATCGCTAGCAAGTCAGTTCATCTCTCTCTGCCTGAGGACCCCGTCTGTAATGGGACAATACACTTTGTCCTTTTCACCGTTGGCTCTTAAACCAAAATAAATGCTACTCTGAGGCAGAGGTTGCTCTCTGCTACAAGTTACATTCAACATTCTGCACTACAGAGGTGTGATCTCATCCATGCTGCAATAAATAAATAAAAAATTACTAGACAATTCAGCAACAGAAATTCCTTCTTCACAGGCTACATAAAGAACTTCTTTTTTTGAGAGCTCTGTCCAGGTGGCCAAAACCAGCAAAACTAATCCCCAAGATTCTGCACAACTTTAAAAAAAAAAAAAAAAGTCATAGAATCACAGAACGGTAGGAGTTGGAAGGGACCTCTGGAGATCTTCTAGTCCAACCCCCCGATAAACCAGGTTAGCCTACAGCAGGTTGCACAGGACCACAACCAGGCGGGTTTTGAAAATCTCCAGGGAAGGACACTCTGCAGCCTCCCTG